GGAGTGCTCCCCAGCATGTCAGTCACAGAGCAGCTACCAGAGGAGTGCTCCCCAGCATGTCAGTCACAGAGCAGCTACCAGAGGAGTGCTCCCCACCGTCAGTCACAGAGCAGCTACCAGAAGAGATGCTCCCCAGCATGTCAGTCACAGAGCAGCTACCAGAGACGGTATCAGCAGTGTCTGTGTCCATCGACCCTGTGCTGTGTGCCTTTTGCTGCACGTATGTCCCTGTGACATGGGTCCTCTTAGCATCTCTGTGAGCAGACGAGGAGGCTGAGGTCCAGAGCAGCTCGAGGCTGCATAGACGCAGCCCAAGCTCCGAGCATGACGACTGACAGATGGGGTGAGGAGTGAGGCTGGCTCTCCTGGAGTGTCAGTTTGTGGCAGCGTTTCATTTGGAAGCTGGAGTGCTCACAGACAGCAGCTGCGTCAGGTGGACCGAGTGGTAAATTCCCTGTTCCTTGGCCACTTATTGAGTAAAACAGCTCTGCTGGGTGCCATCTAGCCAGTAGTCAGTGAGAAACGAATCCGGCCTTAAAGACTGAGTCGATTTCTTACCGAATTCCAGACTCTGAAATTATGCTTTAGGTGTTTAAACAGTATTTTTTCACTTATGGAGACCCCAGGTGTGTCAGAGTAGAGTTGTGCTCTGTAGGGTTTTCGATAGCTGATTTTTTGGAAATAGATCACCAGGCCTTTCTTCCGAGATGCCTCTGGGTGGACTTGAACCTGCAACCTTTTTGTTATCAGCCAAGCATGTTCACTGTTTGTACCACCCAGGGACTCCTTTATCAAATATAGGTCTGTTATAACAAATCAGGAGGAGCCCTGGTGGTCCAGTGGTTACGCACTCGGCTGCTGACTGAAAGGTCAGCGGTTAGAACTCACCAGCAGCTCAGCAGGAGAAAGGTGTGGCAGTCTGCTCCTGTAAAGGTTACAGCCTAGGAAACCCTATGGGAGAGTTCTGCTCTGTCGTATAGGACCACTATGAGTTGGAATCGACTTGATGGCAGTGTGTTTTGGTTTTTTATAACAAATCAAATGGAATAGTAATGTGTGTGATGAGAAGCTGCTGTTTTTTGATCTTGTCACCAGGCGCACTCCCCAGGGG